GTTTGGCTGGAAGTGAGAATTGGCCTATTAATATTCATGTCATCTCTACATGGTGCTTAGGAAATGGATACGAACTGCATAGCTCATTAATCACCAAAGTTAGGCCATCTTTCCCCTGAAATCAAGGTGAATTTTCTTTTGTATAGAAGGGAGCTTTATTATTTTTTCCTGTTATCAGCTAAATCCTTGAAATGGAGGAACTTGTGAAAATTTTCTGATTAATTCCTTTACACATCCTAAACTGCAAACCGCAGACTTGGAAAGAAACATTAATGTTGATCCCATCACTGACTGATTTATAAGGAAATTCAAAGTAGCTACTGTAGTTATATGACTTTGCTTTTAAGTGACCTAACTATGTAATTATGTAAACACTGGCTTTGGGAATGTGCCACTTGGAGTGAGCTAAAACTGGCCTAAGCTTGTTCATTGGTCTCCTTTTATTTGTGTCTTTCCTTTGTTTCTCACAATTTAAATAGAGGGGAAGCACTGGTATGACTCCTATGAAAGACTCCTCATATTTTGAAGAATGTGATCCCTGCATTGATGCATGTGTCACAGGGTCCTCAAGACCGGTGCTGTTTTCATAGTGTGGTGATGCCATTTGCTCTCCTGACTCTCACTCTCATGAGTGTACAGTCTGTTTTCTAGAGGCTCCATGATGGCAGCAGATAAAATACAGAGACCAACATGATAATCAGGTGACCTTCTAATACAGAAATCTGTTAAAAAAAAAAAAATCCAGAACTATGCAACTTTACGTATTTATTATTTTTTGATTTTGTTAAGTGCAGTGTTTTTTGTTTATCACAGAATGAATTAAATATATTGAATTTATTATTTTTAAGTGAATTATTAGGTCTATTTTAAAATTTCACTTTGTTTTCTAATTGGTAAATATCTATATATGTATTCCATTAGACATGAACTCTCTCTACTTTTCTAACTAGGAAGGGGTTTTGAGTTCATCAAGTTTGAGACCTTTCAATTTACATGTTTTTGGCTTTAAGGCAAATAACCCTTTACTTTCTTTTTTTTCCCCAAATAGTGTGCTTTCCCATGTAATATGTAATTTTTTTCCTCCCACTGTGCTTGTGACAATTGATCAAATTGACAAAGGGCCTCCACTAGTGAGGTATAGTAGGTGATAGCTACACATTAATGACATGGGATCCTCAAGTCACTAAGCAGTGGTGACTTGGGGATGCTTCTCTAGCAAGGGCTCCTGCGTTTCCTGGGGGGGGGGGGGAAGGATTATTTTAAGACTTAGCTCTTTCTGACCTGTTTGAAATGATAGTGGAGGAAGAGAGGCATGTTTAACCTTTTGATGATGTCACCTACAGAGTTCACACAGAGAACCACTCAATTGAACTGCAAAAACCAAAAAAAAAAAAAAAAAAAGCAACTCTGGGCCTGCCTTATGTCTACCTGTGTTCCCTTGACTTCAGGGAAGAGTATCTGTGTAAATTTGATATTTTTCTGCACAGGATATTTTTCTCTGTTCTTTTATTGTTTTTCAATGATACATAGCATGGATGCATAGATTTTATACTTAGAATTATAGATCACTTTTATTTTGTTGCTTAAAATAGTTCAGTAATGGATTAGCTCTTTCAGTTACCTCCCATGCCTCTTTGAATATGGGTTGGTTGATTGAGTACTACCTCTCTGACACTGAGATCCAGTAAGCTCATTTTGTATATTTCCTACACAGTCCTAAAGTCATCTACTTCTCCTAGCACTGATTCCTTTGATTGCAGAAAACATAGATCTTGGCAGTAGGGTGTCCCAGTTTCTTTTGGGGTGTTTCTTTTAGGCCCTTTTAGCTGACAGAAAAAGAAATGTATGTGTACAGTTACTCTTGAGTATGCACATGCTTATAGTATGCACATTTCTGTGTGAAACCATCTGTGTTTACATCAAGCCAAGCATGAGTTCTCACATTTTCAACTATAATCCGTCATCACTTGGATCACTCTAGTCACAGCACTGAGAATCCTACCATATGCTCTCTGTTTGCTTAATTGTTTGTTACATTTACGGCAGTGTCAGAACTGTTAACCTGTACCCCCCATGGGAAGCAGTTTTATCAGAGTACAGTATTTATATGTACTTCTTTTAGTTTTCATCCCTACAGACCCCTTTCATTTCAAGATTTGCTTATTTCACCTTTTTTCTCTGTCCAACTCTTTTATTAAGACTATCCCCATGCTAGGTAGTGATGCTGTGTGCCTTTTATTCCAGCACTGGGAGGCAGAGATAGGTAGACATCTGTGATTTCAAGGCCAGCCTAGTTTACAGAACAAGTTCCAGGACAGCCAGGGCTACACAGAGAAACCTGATCTCAAAAAACCTAAATAAATAAATAAATAATAAAATGCCGAGTTTTGATAAAAAGACATAGTATGGTGTCTTTGCTGTTAAGTCATACAGGGCAGTCTCGTCACCTAAAGGATCCATGTTTCACCTATTAATCCCTCGCCTAGACCTCTCAAATTCCTGATAATGTGGAGTAAACCTTGCATATCTTTGCCTTTTATACACTGTAGTTGTAATTATACAGGATGCAGACTTTCCCATTGGCATTTTTCACTTAGCAATATATATTTAAAGTTCTTTCTCTGTTTCTCTCTCTCATGTGTGTGAGTGAATTTTGCTAATAATAACACATTATAGTGTGTGTGTTTGTGTGTGAATTTTGCTAATAATAACACATTATAGGAATGAACCAGAGTTTATACATCTTTGTATTGAAGGATGTCTGGGTTGCTCTGGTTTTGGCCAGTTAGGAATAGATGCTATAAACAACTTGCGAGGTTTTGTCTTTAGGTAAGCTTTCAAACCTAATGGATAAGTTAACCACAGAGTGTGATTGCTGTTTTTATTTTTTTATGCTCAGAGTACATTTAGTTTTGTGAGACGTTCCTCAAGTGCCTGTAACTGCTTTACCTTCCCAGCATCAGAGCATGACTTCCTGTTGTTCTGCATGTCTCCTGGCATTTGATGTTCAGCCTGTGGGGGATTGGTGTTCTGATATGTAGGACTGCTTGATCTTCTTTGTGCAAATCTGTGGTGATGGTGAGCATGAGCATTGTTCCCTGTGATTAGATGCTGTCCTTCTGTCTTTTCAGATAAACCATGTGTTCAGATCTTTTGTCCATTTTTCATTTGGTTGTTTAGTTTTTTATGGTTGAATCTTAAAGCTTTACATGTTGCATTAAGTGTATTCTGTAATATGTGTTCTGTGGCTTGACTTTGTTTTCTTAACATTTTTTTGTGAAGCAGCAGTCTTAAATTAATAAAGTGCAAACAACTCTCTCTTCTCATAGATTTTGTTTTTGATGCTGTATTTGAAAACTCATTAACAAAGCCATGATCACCCAGATTTTCTCTTCCAAATGCCTTTGTCTAGAAGTTCCCTAATACTGAATTTGACATTTGGGTCTGTGATCCATTTTGAGCTCACTATTATTAAAGGTCTAAGGTTTACCTTGATGCCTGGTTTACATGTGAATGCCCAATTGTTGAACACTGTTGTTTGTTTCCTATTGAATTGCTTTTACTGTTTGTCAGAGGTTACTGTGTTTTTGTGGACTTGTTTAGTCTGATTTGTCTATTTATTGTTGTCAAGATAACCACACTGTCTTCATTCCTTAGTAGAGTTGGGTGCCCTGAGCCTTTTGTCTCTCATGTCCAACTTCTGAATGAATTTGTTGATACTCATAAAACAGCTTGTTGCAGTGTTGATTGGGATTATACTGTCTTGCAGCAACTTAAGAAGCGCTAGCATTGTAGCAGTTTTAGTCAAGAAGACGTGTTGTTCCATTTATTTGGGTCTTTGATTCCCTTCATAGCTGTTTGATACTTTCCTGTGTATAGATTCTATACATGTAAACTTTAAACTTAGCTTTTAAAAATTGTGTTTCACATTTTCTATTCTAGTTGTTATAAAAGAAAAAAATTTCACATCTTAACCTTTCATTCTAGGCTTTGCTATAGTTACATTCTCTCTCTCTCTCTCTCTCTCTCTCTCTCTCTCTCTCTCTCTCTCTTTTATTCTTTGTTCTTTGGGTTTTGCTACCATCATGTCATCTATAAGGACAGTTGATTTTTCTGTTCTTCATCTGAATTAACCCCCTTCTATCTCTTTTCTCTTCTCCCCTTATTTTCTTCCTTCCCTTCCCCATTCCCTCTCCCTCAGGACTTGCACATGCCAGGCAAACACTGATCTACTCCAACAGCTTCCTTTATTCCCTTCTCCCTTCATACCATGTTAGCTGGGATTTAAAATCTGATACTGAATAGAGTTGGCTGTGTTCATAATATTAAGTGAGGAAGGGGAGGGACGCATCTAGTTTCTTATTGTTAACTGTGCTGTTAACAATGGTTTTTGTATATGTTATTAAACAGTTCAAGAAGTCGCTTTGCTGTCACTTGTTACAAGTTTTGGTCAGCTGTTGGAATGTGTCATATATTTCCTGCACTGAATAATGTATCACATTGTTTTCCTTTTATAGTCCGGTGAATGAGGTGAATCACATTATTTACCTTTCTCCCTTTCTTTTCCCCCTTCTTTCATTCTTTTTCTCTCATTCCCTTTCTCTTCATTCCTCTTCACTCCCTCTTTCCTTTCCATCCTTCCTCCTTCCCCCCTTTTTTTAAATGAATTTTTCATTCTAAAGCACTTATTTATCTGAAAGGTGGTCACAATGAAGCAAACTTTTTGGAACTTAGTAACCTGAACAAAATGAAAGATTACTTAGATTAAGAGATCTTTTTATCTGGGTGGTGGTGGTGCATACCTTTTGTCCCAGCATTCAGGAGGCAGAGGCAGGTGGATCTCTGTGAGTTTTAGACCAGCCTGGTTTACAAGAACAAGTTCAAGGACAGGTTCCAAAGCCACAGAGAAACCCTGTCTCAGAAAAACAGAGAGAGAAGAGATCTTTTTAATATAAAAAAAATGACCTCCTGTTGATGTTTCTGTGCCTGCTTTTTCATAGGCAGAACACCCTGCTAATGGACCAGAGTGTGGTTATGGCTCCTTTCACCAGCAGTACTGGCTTGATGGGAAGATCATTGCTGTGGGTGTGATAGACATCCTCCCATACTGTGTGTCTTCTGTGTATCTGTACTACGATCCTGATTACTCATTTCTATCTTTGGGTGTCTATTCAGCATTAAGGTAAGACTGCTTTGTACAATTGTAATGAGTTTCATGGAGGTTCAGATAATTGCTCAATTTGTTTATATTTCAGTATGTAATAGTAGGAATCTATTTTTGATAGTATGTTATAATAATTTGCTGCTACAGTATTTAAAAGTCACAGTTTTAGGAGGCTGGAGAGATGGCTCAGCAGTTAAAAGCACCCTGCTCTTTCAGAGAACAGAAATTCAGTTGCCAGCACCCACACCTAGCTGCTGACAGCCACCTGTAACTCCAGCTCCAGGGAATCCTACTGGTCCTCTTCTGGCCTCTATTGGAATTTGCATGTAACATGTGGCACGGCACACGCGCGCGCGTGCGCGTGCACGCGCGCGCACACACACACACAGTGGGAGAGGGAGATGGTTGGGGGGAGAGAATAAAATAAATAAACCTTTCTCAAAAAAAAGTAATAGCTTTACAAATGATGCCATTTTTGATGTTAATCCTCTAACTTTTAATGCTTCTGTATACTCTAGAGTAAGCCTGATATCCGGAGTTTCATGTCCAGAACTCATAAAAATCCTAGGATAGAACTGACTTTAAAGAGGCCATGTCTTGTCTATTCCCTCCAGCCCATTGTATACACAAAATAATAATAAAATACAGTTTTCAAAAGAAAATCACATGTTTGGAGGTGTTTATTGTTTCAGGTACAAATTTTCTAAACTCCCCTGTCAGCTTGTTTATGCTCTATAAATATAACATTATCTGTATTGTTATCATTAGTATGTATCTTCTCTCAGTGTTAAAGATGCAATTAATGTGCTGTGAATGGATTAAAGGATGTGCATCTGCTGAAAGAAATACAGTTATGGAGTTATAAAGTGTTCAAGGAAAGGGCTACAGTCTGACAATCATGTCATTAGGCACTTACATGGTTTTATTAACATGTACATGTGCACATATCCATAGACCAAGAAGGTATGGTGTCATTAGCAATCTTACGAGAGCACTTACATGTTTGGTCTGCTCCTGACAGCAACAGTGTCATGAAGCATGTGGTTGTCTAGATATACAAATAAGCAGTGTGGAGTTCCCGACTATCTGCTGGTATCTGTGTCCCTCCTCAGAAAATAATTTCCCATTTGTGGTCATAGCTACAGATACATGTCACACAGCACACATGTCTTTAATGGTGAGAAGGTTCGGTGGGAGTATCTTCTCTGGAATATTTGTTTCTGTTATTACTCCCACTTATCAATACATGTGCAGTACAACTAGAAGAAGGCGATTTGGAAACTGGTTTGCTTTTGTTTCTCAAGTAGCTTGAGTCTCTTTTCCCCTCTGCTTTTCTCACTGTGTTCCCTAGTTCTTGTGTCTTATAGTCACATTCTTATACCATTATGAAGTATACTGCCAGATTATATTAGTTTTTATATATGTATTATTTTCCTGAATTATCAAAGTAGAAGCCTTGATGCTTCTCTTTAAATGATCAATTTGAATTTTACAAATTAGGCTGATAATCATCTTTTGCCTATGTCTCAGTGCCCATCTCGACAGTCTCTTAATATTAATCTGTCAATAACAGATTTACAATTATACAGTGTTTTTAACTGTTCTCTGACAGTCCTTTTTCCTATGTATTTAATTGTGCTTTATAGAAAATAATTTAAAGACTAGATTATCTTAGATAGAGATAATGAGAGGTGGTCAAATTCAGGCTGCATTTTGGAGATAGCCCAGGAACTTGTTGGAGCATCAGAGGACTGGTTTTGAGGATGGCTCATGGATTTGAGTAAGTAGTGGTTTAGTGATCCAAAATACTAAAGTCCAAGAAACCAAGTGCCATCTAGACTACCTAGGATGTGGTCAAGAGTCATTGAGTATGGGTGGGGTGGGGTACTTTCATTTGCTGATTCTTTGCTCAGTTTGAATCTTGAAAATAGATTAGTTCTAGGAATAGTAACATTCTGTTATAGAAACATTTTAAATAGTTTTCGGATAACTCTAGTACAATTTAGATTTGTACTAGAGAAATTAATATAGTCCTTTAAACATAGAATTTTTCTATTGGACAAGTTGACATATATGTCTGTAATCTCAGGCTGAAATAGGATGAGAATTTTGAGGCCAGCCTGGGCTGTTGTAGCAAGTTCTGGGATAGGCTACACTACATAAAGAGAGCCTCTCTAACAGAACAAAACAAAACCCTGTATTTTGTATATCCAAGCTGCTATTAAAAAAAAAAAAAAAAAAAAAAAAAAGAGCAATCCAACATTCTTCCTGCTTTAGAAATGTATTAAAACTCTTATATACAGCGTCTTATTCAGTTGGACAAGTAGGGGAAATTTTGTGCCAAGACTTAATCTTAATACAAATTACAACCACTTCACACTTAAGCATTTCAAGGAAGATTTAACTTCTTTGTTTCAGCAGCCCTCACCCCTGCTGACAAATGGAAAAGGCATGGAGGGAGAATGTGGTATTTTCCCTCTCATTTTAGGAAAACTGTATATAAAATGTGGTTCTAGCTAACAGTGAGTTCTGAATCAGATACAGTTAAAAGGGTTGTGTATAAATGCGTATGTAATTTTTTCTGACATGTATCGGTTATTAAGTTTTAAAAAGTTTGTTGTGCTGTTAAAGTAGCCCAGATTTCTTGCACATTCTAGAACTTACTGAATAATATTGTCGATATCTTTATTTTCATGTTATGTTGGTTGTAGATTAGCTCTTTTGCCCAATAAAGTATACAATCTGAATTTAGATGTTATTTATTCAGAATAATTTAGAAGTTTTGGGGGTATCTCCTTTAATAATTATCTTATGTTTTAAAAATCATTTTTCTTGCTGGGCATGGTGGTGCATGACTTTAATTCCAGTACTCAGGAGGCAGAGGGAGGTTGATCTCTGAGTTCGAAGCCAGCCTGGTCTACAGAATGAGTTCAGAACAGTCAGAGATACACAGAAAAACCCTGTTCAAAAACAAACACACAAGTGATTTTTCTCTAAGAGTTGGGTATATTTCTCCATTAGATTTTATTGAATTATGTAGATTTTTGAAAATTGAAATCAGAACTAACTATACAATTACCTCTTTTTTTTTTTTTTTTTGTTTTGTTTTTGCAGAGAAATTGCTTTTACTAGACAACTCCATGAGAAAACATCGCAACTCAGCTATTACTATATGGGTTTCTACATTCATTCCTGCCCCAAGATGAGATACAAGGTAATGTCAGTTTCACACCTGTGCCACTTTTCATTGTAGAAGATAAATTTTCAGTATAATGTGCATCTTGGGGCATAGGATTTGGAGTGTGTAGAGGTGGGAATGGGTTATTAAGGAGACTGTTTGCTCGTTCATAAGGAGTTCTTTCTGAAGCGAGAATCATAGCCTCCCTGTGCTGACAGGATCTCTTGGCATTCGTGTGAGATTTAAGTATAGTTTGCAATTTCCTTTTAAAAAATAGTTGTGAGAGTCTTTAGTGAAGGCCATTGAAACTTCCTAAGTGCTGGTACAGAACTGTAGAAGAGCAGACTTCTATGCCACTGTGACCACCATTACTATGTGGTGCTTAGGTCTGAGATATGTGGAGATCGGGGATAGGAGGAGCATCTTCCTCTTAAGATATGTAATACAGGTGATGCTGGGGGACTCTTAGCATAAAACTGGGTCATAGAGTGCTTGATAGATGGCCTACAAGGATGTGGGGCTTTCTTTCAGAGTGGAAGAGGAAGGAAGGAGTGGCTCAGATGAAGAGTAGGTGTGATGGAGACACACAGAATTTAGGGGAGAGATGCTTGTAAGTAAGGGTCAGAAAGAACAATTAGATACTTAAAAGACCTGTCCCGGCTATAAGGGGTGTGTGTGTGTGTGTGTGTGTGTGTGTGTGTGTGTGTGTGTGTGTGTGTGTGTCTGTCTGTCTGTCTGTCTGTCTGTCTGTCTGTCTGTGTATCCATCCATCCATCCATCCATCCACCCATCCACCCATCCATCCATCCATGCAATGTGAAACAGCAGGACCAGGCTATCTATCTATCTATCTATCTATCTATCTATCTATCTATCTATCTATCTATCTATCTATCTATCTATGCAATGTGAAACAGCAGGACCAGGCTGTAAGAAACTCCAGCAACATATATGTATAGGCAGAACATTTGTACACATGAAATAAAAGTAAATAAATCTTAAAAAAAAAAAATCTAAATTCTCTCTCTTTTTTTTTTTTTCTTTTTCCTTTTTTAATTGAGCAAAGGTAACATTTCTTCCTGGCATTTTTTAAATATGTTTTTGAAATCATGAATCCTGAGGGAAGTCATTTGAAAAGTCAGAGAATTAAGGAAAAGTATGTAATTCTTCCATAACATTAAAGGTGAAAAGTCAACATTAAAATATTACTGGTTTGAGAGCCAGACATGGTGGGGTATGCCTTTAATCCCAGCACTCATGATCTCTGTTCATTCGATCTCTATGATCTATAGAGCGAGTTCCAAGACAGCCAGGGTTATACAGAGACCTCCACCACCGAAAAAAGGGGGGGGGGGATGTTACTTGTTTGAGGAATTCTATGTCAGATGGAAGGAAGATCGAGTCATGACTGAGGGAGCTGACAGCTGATAGGACATTGAAGAGAGCAGGACAGGGTTATGGGAGAGGAAGCTGTTAGGTCTAGTCAAAGAATCTTGCTTATGGTTGCTGCTGTTACAGTAGTGCATGGAGCTGTTTGTTGTTAACAGTGTAGATTGTGGTATAGCTATAATACAAATTTAAAATGTATAGAGTTAAGTATGATGGTACACATCTGTAATCTCAGCATTCGAGCCAAGAAGAATATAATCAGTGTGAGGTCAGCCTCGGCTACACAATGTATATGTTCCAAGCCATCTAGGATACATAGCAAGATAATGCCTCAAAAACAAATAAAAAGAAAAAAGAGGACCAGTGGGAGGGAGTTGGGTAGATAAAGACACTTAACTCTCTCATGCTTAGAGTTCAGTCCTTAGTACCCACACAGTAGAAGGAAAGAATTGGCTCCTGCTGGTTGTACTCTGACCTCCACATGGACTCCCATAGCTAATGTGTACACACCCATATACACAAGAGATTAAAGTGTTTTTTAAAAAAAAGGAAAGTGTATATACTAACTGTAAGAGTAATGTTCCAAGAAGTAATACATTATGGAAGCAAATAACATTATAAATTGGCAGCTTATTGTATTTAGGATTCTGTGTGACCTACCACATTCTAAATGTTAGGTTATCATAGTAGTATCAAATAAGATTTGCTGGCAGTTTCCATTATTTCAATACTTGCAAATAGTATTAAACTTAGTATTTCTTACTTGTTAAATGCTTTTAAAGGCACCTGTAATGATGAGTGAAAAAGTAACTTGGAGTTCCAGGAATTTCCTATCTCCAGAGCCTCTAAATCAATAACTTTAGAATTTGGAAACATCAGCAAAACTGTAAAATAAGATTGATGACAAGAGGGTTAATTGGAAGTCAAAAACTATTTGACTTTTTGTCCTGTTAGTTTGTGTCCTCGCTTTCTTTTAGGGAGAGATGTTTTTACATGAAGTTGTATTATTACTGACTTTATGGACCTTTGTGGGAAGATAGAATTTTTAATATTAATCTATTTTGTAAAGCCAGCATTTGCCTGGAATCACTGCTTTTGAGCACTTGGGTTTTCAAGAACATATTGATTTTAACTTTTATATTGTTAATTTATTTCTTAGGTTGGGATGATTGCTTAGTGAGTAAAACTTTTGCTGCATGAGCATGAGAACCTGACTTTGGCACCCCAGCATCTATATGAAGAGCTTGGTGTGGTGGTACGTGTTTGTAACCCCATGCTGGAGCACAGGGTAGGCAGATAGGGCTTGCTGGCTAGCCAGTCTAGCCAGACCAGTGAGTTCGAGGTTCAGCGAGAGATTACGTCTCAAAAAATAGGTAGAGAGAGAGAGGAAAACACCTGCATTCAACCTCTGTCCTCCACATTGCCATGCACTAAGGAAATTTAGCTCTTGTATATATTTACATGTATTTATACTACATAAAGCAGTTCCAAGTGCCTTTTACTACGCTTGAAGATACAGTAATATTTCATTTGGATTGTCTTGCACAGATTTGTTCAAATTAAGTTAACAGTCTTTGCGCTCTCTCTCTCTCTCTCTCTCTCTCTATATATATATATATATATATAAAAATATATAAATATATAAAATTTATATAAAATATAGTTCACATACAAAAGCAAGACAGCTTATTTTCTTGTGCTGTGTTACTGAGTAAGAAGCTATCATAAAGTCATGCTTAAATGATGATTCTGTCTTTTTCCATGAAGAGATGACTGGAGGTTTTCATGATCACTGCTTTTTTCCTGCCCATCAGAACTGTGACCATTTGCCTTCCCTAGATGGCACTGGCCTGGTGACTGACTTTCACTGGCTAATGGATAACATGTAGTTAATTGTTTAGGATTTCTGGGGTATAGTCTTAGAGGATTGTCATTTTTTCTTTTCTGTCTTTGGAGCCAGGTATCATGTAAAAGATCCAACTGCCTAAAACCACCTTGGATATTTTAGTGCAACTGCATGATTGAACCCAGGAGACTAGCAGCAAAACAACTGAGCTCTAGTCTGCTCAGAGTCATGAGTTATGAATTACTGTTTTAGGCTGCTGAGTGTTGGGGTGGTTTGCTACTCAGCAGTGGATGACAGGAGTGTGGTGTGGATATAGAAGTCATACTTCATCCTGTGTTGATTGTGCAGGCTCATGTCCTAGAATAAGCTGACCTGGGCAGTTGTTACAGTGGCTCAAAGTGAGGTTTTGCAGAGCCACTGAATTTCTCTGTGGTTATACTAAAAATGCTGTGTGGTTTATGAGAGTTCATCTTCCAAGGTTTTTGTTGAATGCTGTTATTGAGCCTATAGGTTGTCTTCACATGTCAACAGATTTTGCTTTTGTTTGAGTTGCTAATAATGACCACAAGGTGAAATCACCATGTTGTTATTTTCATAGTTATATAGACAGTATGTGTTACAGTAAGTTTTCCTTTCTGCTTATGGTTCCTTAGTTTACAGCATTTAGATGACCTAAGATGGTTTGGTTAGAGATTTATTTTTATGTGTATGGGCGTTTTACCTGCTTGTGTGTCTGTGCACCATTTGTGTACCTAATGCTTGAGGAGGCCAGAAGAGGGCATTGGATATCTGGAACTGGAGTTAGACAGTTATGAGTTTTAGGTGCTGAGAATCGAACCAGGGTCTTCTGGAAAAAGAGGACAGTGCTCTTAACCACAGACCTATCTCTGTAGCCCCTATATTTTATTTCCTTTAGTGTCATTGGCATAAATGTGTTTCTGTGTTCATAGGTTATCTTTGTAGTGTTATGGAGTAAGCCTTTACAAATTCTTTCAGCTTTGTTCAGATTTTTACATTGCACATACTGAATCTAACTCCTTCCTTCATTCCTTCCTTTCTTTGTTCCTACTTTCTCTCCTTACCCTTTTCTTCTCATCATTCCATTTTTTGCTGTGTCATTCTGTCAAATTTCTAAATCAATTCACATCTCAATATTTAATCCTTATCTAGCTATACAATTTTCTTTTCTATATGTGCTAGAAAGGATTTTTTTTTTTTTTTTTTTTTTTTACTTAAAGAATTTAACTTATTTGGCTAAAGCTTAAAAAAGCATTTTCCAGTGCTTCCCAAATGCTCGATATTTCCATATAAAGCTTACTTTATATTCTTCTTTTTACGTACTTCAATACATTTCAAAACTACTTGATTACTTCTGAAAGTGGAAATTGTTGTATACTGAAGTGTTGTTAGGCGTAATTTAAAATACTTTGCTCTCCACGTTATCTCCCAGTGCTGCTGAGAGGCTGTTGTGTATTCTGAAAGCGGTGTTTTGATGAAGTCTTTTAAGCAGATCTGTATACAAGCCAGAGTAAATAGTGATTTCAAGCAGTCTGCTTTGGTGTCACGACATGGCCAGACATCAGTGGAAACATCAGAAGGGGTTCTGAAATAGCAGAAAAGAAACAAAGGGCTAATTCATCTTGGAACAATCTTTACACTGAATGCCTCAGCTGGGCTGTGGGTAGACAGAACCTCCGGAATTCTGTAGGACTTTGCCCACGAAAAGGCTTTTTGGCATTACTGGTACAAAAGCACCTATAAAAATGTTAATTGGCATTAGCAGAGCTGTGTTCGCAAAATC